GGCGGGAACGCTGAGGGGAGGCAGGGCCGGGCTGGCGGCGCGCGCCTGTCGCGACATAAGGCGATAAAAATCCGGGATGGCGGCACATCCCGAGCGGGAAGGGAGTGCAGGATGGTCCGATCCTGGCCAGGATACGCCAACCGTGAGAAATAGGGGTCGCTATTTAAAAAGACTTGAAAAAAGTTTAATAAGGGCTAAAAGGGACAATACCCAGCGCTGGGGTGCTTGGCAGTTTGGAAAAAGCACGCCGTTAGCTTAAAATGATATTTTAAATATATTTTTACAATACAGGATAATTTTTAATAATTTTAAATATTTTTTAATATTCTTAATTTAAATAATATTTTTGTATGTTTTCTACAGTAATATATTTCTTTGTACAGTAAAAATGTACATTGTTACACTTATGGGTTAAATGCATATTTATGAGGGTTATACATACTCGAGCATCCTTGTGAGCAGACATGTTCTAGGAACTTTTTTGCCTGGTTTTAACCTTTGACTTGTCTGCATGCCATCCTGTAGATTAAATCAATTTATTTTATTTCTTTTCAAGGCTCTATTCTGTTGTTCTGACACTCCTGATAACCAGAAAGTCAGTAAAAAATTTTTCTCTTGGTATCCTGGTTCTTGTCACTGTTATCACAGATGAAACATAGCTGTTTCACACTCATTATCTCATTAATGAGTTAATTAAATATCCCACTAATTATCTGAGTTAGTTGCACAAATAAAAGCATTTTAACATTACATAGTTTTAATAGTATGCTAAGAATGTTATAGATTATGGATCAGATATAAGATTATTCTGTTTATCACACCGCTTTACACGGTGCATACATAAACTGACAGATTGTACTATACCAAAAAGCACTTAAAAGGAATTACAGATTGCACCACATTAACATCTCTGTGGTCAATAATAACTCACAGAAGCCAATGCATAAATGCCAAAGCCAATATAATAATGTCATTTCTAACACCAGCAATCCCAGCCTGGGCACGGGAGCTGTGTCCCAACATTCCGGAGCTTTGGCTGGGACAGATCCCGAGGGGGAAGGGACCCACAAACGCCAGCAGAGTCCAGCTCAGCGCTGGATTTCTCAGAGATCACGGTGTTGTCTTGTTTTCCTTTCCTGTGTGGTTTTTTGCTGTAAATGTGAATATTTTCTTCAGATTCCCATAGAACAGAAGATGGAAGGAGGCTGTGGATGGAGTGACAGGAGATGGTGTGAAGATTTAGGTGGATATTGGGAAGAAATTCTTCCCTGCGAGGATGGTGAGGCCCTGGTGCAGACTCCCAAAACAATAAACCGAGAGAGATCCCTGAGCAAAAGAGCACGGAGGTTTTGAATGATGGCATCCTGCCTTCCTGAGTTCCCTTCCATTTCCAGGTGCATCTTCCAGGTCTGAACTGGCAATGGCATTTCCCATCTAAAATAATCCAACTTCCTTGAATTTTTGTTAGGAATTTTTCAGGAAATGCTTCTGACTCAGTGCTGTTTTAATCTTTGCCCAAAATGCAATTTACAAGTGTTTTCTTTCCCTTATTTTTGGCCTTTTGTCCTCTCAAGGGGAGGAAAACAGGGGAAAAATTCCAGGAATAATGGAGAAAACCAGGGAATCTGCCCAGAACTTCCCAGAAAATCATTCTTCATGGAATCAGTTGGAATTCCACAGCAAGTTTTTGTGACAAAACATTCTGAATCGTTTAAAACAGAACAATAATTAGAATATAAGAAGAGTAATGAGACAAGTTCATATTCCCATCATTCCCGCTGGGATTTCCTTCCTTTCCTCTTGGATAAGTGGCAGAGCACTCAAATTAATGGGTTAAATTCAGCAATTAACTAACATTGTGGAATCCCTGATAATTTTGCTGGAATCTGAGCGTTTTTCCTTGGGTTTCCTCTCCTGGGTGAGGTCAGGCGTGACCATGGTGATGATGGACAGGGAGGGAGGAAATTCCAGACTCAGGAATTGCAAAACTCCATCTTCCTGATTTATCCCAAAGATCCAGCTCCCATCCTGGTTTTCCCGAAAACAATTGGGATAATTGGAGCCAGCAGTGGGTGACATCACCTGGAGGTGCAAAGCCACCTGCTGGGACATTCCAGCACTTTCCCTGCTCTCACCACCCTCTCCAGTGGGATTTGATTTTTTTTTTCAAACCTCACTCCCTGGGATTCAATCATTAATTTATTGCCCTGCAGGACTATTAATCGTCATTAATTTATTTCCCCTTCCAAAGCCATCCCAATGCCCGGGGTTCCTTTATTCCCAAACTTCCTTTAAAGCCAGGGAACCTCTGTCTGGATCTTCCCAGAAAATCATTTTTTGTGGAATCAGTTGGGATTCTGTAGTGAGTTTTTTGTGGCAAAATGTTCTGGATTGTTTTAAACAGAATAGTAATAGTAATAATAATAATAATTAGACTATAAGAAGAATTTAGAAGATCCATGCTGAGCTGATAAAGAGGAAGAAAAATGCTGGGATAATGGTGAAGACCAGGAAAAAATGCCAAGGTAATGAGGAAAATCAGGAGAAAGTGCCAGGGATCATGAGGAAGATCAGGAAAAAATGCCAGAGATAAGGGAGAAAATCAGGAAAAAAATGCCAGGGATGATGAAGAAAGCCTGGAAAAAATGTCAGGGATAGTGGAGAAAACCCATGGATTATGGAGGAAAAAACACCAGGGATAATGAAGAGAATCAGGAAAAACGCCAGGACAATGGAGAAACCCAGGATATTTTTACTGTTCAATATTCATACAGAAAGCACCGGGGGTTTGAGCGAGTCCTTGTGTGAGGAGCGAATCCCTCTCCAAAAAATTCCAACTTTCAGGAAAAATAGCAGGGAAAGACTTCACACCTTCCCTTCCTGGAGGCAAATCAAATGCATCACACAGGAAATTCAAGTTACGAGTTTTGCTGATCTCCAGATCTGTGACAGAGCAGCCTGGGAGTGAAAATAATCTCCAGATCTGATGTGCTGGAGTGAGAGGAAAGTCCTCAGCATTGAGCAACGGGCATGCAAGGAGCTCCTGGAAAAGCTGACAGCCAAAATATTTGGGATTTGATGCCCCTTAAAAGGCTCAGAATAATCCAGGAGCAGGCAGGGCCTCTCCACATTCCAGCTGAGATCGAGGAATATCCCATAAAAACCCCCAACTTTTAACGAGGGTGGAATGACTCCAAGCAGTGCTGCTGCAATTACGGAGTGCTGACGAAGCCATCCCAGGGCAGGTGACATCAGCGGTGCTCTGGACAAACACCAATTAACAATTTAATTAACAATCAACCCCGTGTCATCGGGGCTGCCTCGCAGGTGAAGCAAAAAGATTTGTCCAGGGTTAGAAGAGAAAAGTTCCAAGAGTTTGCAGCTTCCCAGGTGGGTTTTCAGGGAAGTGGAGTTGGGAATTTTGAGATCTATCGCCATTGGTTTTGTGCTTCTGGTGGGTGGAATTAAATCTTTTCTTCTGAGTTTGTTGTTTTGTTTTGTCTGGGAGATTTTGGGTCTTTTTTTTTCCTTTAAATGTGCTGGGAGACGCTCCAGATCCCCTTGGCCAACAGGATGGGAATGGGGACAAAAATTGGGAAGGATTTGTAGAGTTCTGCCTTTGTTTGGGTGAGAAAACACAGAATCCCCCACTGCTTTGGCTCAAAGGCACCTTAAAGCCCATTCAGCTCCAACCCCAGCCCCTTCCCCTATCCCAGGCTGCTCCACCCTGGCCTTGGACACTTCCAGGGATGAGATTTTTTGGGAATTCTCTGCCAGGGCCTTCCAGGCAAGAATTCCATCCCAATATCCCATCTCTGAAGCCATTGCCTTTGTCCTGGCACTCCCAATTCCTGATGAAGCATCCCTGAGGTCACAAACCCTTCCTGATCCATCTCTTTTGGGCTTTGTTTGGGGATTTTTGCCAGTGCTGATCGGACAGGTCCGACCAGGAATATTTGTGCTGTTCCTGTGCCCTCCTCGCTCTGGGTTACTCATAGAGGAAATGGGGCCTGGAAGTCACGTGGCAGCATTTTTATTCTTTGACTGATGAGTAAAGGTTGTTTTGGGGCACGGAAAAAAAAATAATTAAAAGCAGGGGTTTAACAGCAAAATTTAAGGTTAAATCTGGTGCTTAATGTATGGAAACAATGTTAATAAACACCCCAGAGCAAACAGAGCCTGAGCACAGGGCGGGATTTGGGCTCTCCCAAATCATTCCTGCAGGTCTAAATGAATCCAGAATATTTCACCTCAGCCATGGCATTGGCCTGGTGTTTTGGGATTGCCTTCAGCAGCATTTAAAGGCTTCCAAACTATCTCTTTTTTCCAAGCCCCAACGTTTCCCCTGTATCCAGACTATTCCCTGCATCCAGAGGAAGATTCCTGAGTTCTTTAAAGTTTGCACAGAGCTTCATTTGCAATTCCCAACTCCTGCACGGACAGAGCTGCTGTGGGAGGAGGTGGGGAAATCCTCCAGATGGAAAACATGGAATTGCAGCTGGATTTATCCCAAAAAAAAGTCCCTGTCGGGTTGGGAGAGGAACGCCAGCTGACACAGGCATTATGTAATCACCAGTTTTAATTAGGATTTGCTAATGACTGTTTTGCCCTTGCGCAGTCGGTTCCCGGTTTCTTCATCCCCTCCTTCCCTCAGTGCCACACTGGAGCACCTCTTCTTGTTGACATCTGCTCCAGTTCCCAGCTGAAGTTCCTGGATCGATTAACCCCTGGGAATTGCTTCCAAGCCTTGGGAAACAGTTCTGGGGACCATTCCAGGAGCCAGGAGTGCTTCCCCCTTCTTTTTCCAGGAGTTGGAGCCGCTGCTTGTGGAATTTTTTCTTCATCCAGGACGGAGCGATGGTGCCTGGCATTCCAGGATGGTTGCACCTCGCACGTCTGCGGAGCAAGAAGGTTTTGGTGTTCTCCAACCCCTGCCAGCCCTGATTGCCTCGGAATTCTGACAGATCCTGCTGGATCTGATCGGAAATTGGAGCTGGAGCAGGATAAAAACCCATCCAGCAGCCAGGATCTCACCCTGTGAATATTTGGGATTTGAGGGGGTGGCAGATCTGGAGTGGGGATATGGTGCTGATGAAGAGCCGTGAGTAAAGAAACAAGAAGAGGAAGAGAATCCAAAAAAACCCAAAAACTCCAGGAATAGTTATTCCAGAGGGATGCCAGGAGCAGCTGCAGCCACCTTCCTCAGCCAGGTGAGTGAGTGGAAATGAATGCTTGCTCATCCCGGGAACCAGCAGGATTTTGGTGCTGAGGCTGGATTTTAACCCTCTGCAGCCAGGGCAGGGCTGACGTGGAGCCTGCTCATTCCAGAGGGGTAATTAAGGAATACTTCCACGGCTGGTGATTAGCAGATTATTCATGTGCTCATTGCCGGTCTCTGGAGGATTTGCTAGGGAGCTGCATTTTGGAAAATTGGGGATAAAAGCGTGCCACGGAGCCCAGTACGGGTTAAGAGGTGTTCACCTCCGCCTGGAGCAGGTTTGGCAGCATTGGGACATCGGGGCCACCCCAGTTCTGCAGGCACAGATCCCTGGGAGGAATTCCAGAGAAATCCCCCAGGCAGGGCTCAAAGCATCACCTAAAAGCAATTCAGGGATTCCCAGAGGGAATTTTGGTGTGCAGAGCTCCACTGACATTCCAGGAGAGGAGGAGAACATCTAGATATTGCAGGAATTCAGCAGCACAAAAAGCAATTTGGGGGACTCCCAGAGTAAAAAAAAGCCATTCAGGGGTTCCCAGAGGGGGAAAAAAGGCAATTCAGGGATTCCCAGAGGGAATTTTGGAGTGCAGAGCTGCACTGACATTCCAGGAGAGGAGGAAAACATCCAGAAAATGCAGGAATTCAGCAGCACTTTTAGGCAGGATCACAGGGAGGCCCTGAAGAAACGTCTGGAAGCTCTCCAGGGCAGGCACTGAACAACTGAATTCTGAACAATTCCTGAACAAACTGGAATTCTGCTTCCAGATGTTTGGGAGAGCAAGGACTGGGAAAAGCAGAGGAGGCAGAGGAGGAACACTGGGAGGTTCCTGGAGTTGCCCACAGGAGTTTGGAGTGGGAGTTTGGATGGACTGGCTGATCCAGTGGCCATGAAGAAAGCAGGGAGAGGGAGAGCCAGAACTCATTCCCGAGAGGAAAACCGGGCTGGTGTGTGAGGGGAGAAAATGTGGGAAGAGGGTTTGGCAGGGGCATTCCAGGGGAAGAAACTCCATTTTAGGAAGGGGCGATGTGAGTAAAGCCAGCTCTGCTAAACTCGAGATTAAGGTGGCTGCAAAGCCTCCCCAGGGCAGGATTTCTCCTCCTCCACATCCCCGCCTCTGCTGGAGCAAGGGGATGCCCAGGGCTGGCTTTCTGCATTCCCAATCCAAAGGAAAAAGTGGGAATCTCTGGAAAACACAGCAATGGAAAGTCAGGAAACAGCGCATGATAATTTGAGAGAAACGCTGCCGGGGAGAAAGTTCATCCCAAGGCGAGTTGGTCAGTGGACAGCAAATTCCAGCAGAGCCTCAGTGTGGAGAGGCCCAGGGAAAACTGGAGTTGGAATTTTTCTGGAGAACCTTAAGGAAAATCTGCAGGAATGAGAGGCTGGAATGAGCTCAGGTGGGATTTTCACACCCCTGCCCTGCCAGACCCTCCTCTATTCTTCTGGGAATTTTCAATTGGGCAAAATATTTTAATCCTGGAGTTCTAGAGGATGAGCTGAGCCTCTCCTTTCACTCAAACCTCTCCAAAAGATTTTTCAGGTGTAAGGAAATATTCAAGAACAAAAAAAAAAACCTGTTTGGCAGAAGATTTCCTTGATTTCATGAGTCCATCCCACCAGAAATGTGAATTCACAGACTCACTTTTAGGTGAGGGAGCTAAAATCTCCTTTAGTGCCTGCAGGATAATCCATGGGATTCTCCTGCTATTCTGGCTGGCTCATATTGGCATCTTGCTACAATTTGGTATTTATTTCTGTTTCAGTAGTTTATCAGCTAGTTGAGAACCATTTTATCATCCATAAATATTCTAATATAATGACAATCAAGGGCAGAGTTTGCACAGTTCATAAGTGAAAACTTCCAAGCAAAATAGCAAAATTCCTTCATTTTCTTTATCTCTACTGCCTTCATCAATTAAATAGGATGTGATTCCATGAAAATCAACAAATTAAAAAGATCCAGTGGGAAAAGGAACCTTCTGGACATGTCTGGAGTTGCTGGTCCTCAGGACACAAAAAACATTTTCTCCTTCCCTCCCTTACAAGCCCTAATCAACATTTCTTACTCAGAATTTCTAATTACAGCCCTGCAACCCCACAGGACTTTCTCAGGGCTCTTATCTCCACAATCTCTGCGTCTTAAAAAGAGAAAAACACCACATTTTTAAGCGGTGAAGGAGTTTACCCCTCCTTCTCTCCCAGTTCAGGATCTATAAAAATGAACCAACCAAACTGGGATCTTTTTTGAGTGATGCTGATCCAGTTTTTTCCCTATTTCCCTGTAGGGAAAAAAAGAAATCCTGGAGGAAACTCTGCAGGGATTTTTTTTCTGAGGTGCTGCCATTGTGAGGCAACAGGAGCTGAATTGTTCCTGCTCCTTGTGCAATAATTCCATTGTCAGGGATTGATTGTTGCATTTTCCATTGCACAACGCGGGATGGAGAGAGAAGGAAGGGTGGGGGACAGAGAGACATGAACAGAATGAGTTTCACAGTGCTGGGAGGTTTTTAATGAGATTTTAGCTAATTAACTCTTCACGTGGCTCTGCTGCAGCTCTTCATTCAATTTGGTTTCTTTTTGAATTAAAAATTAAATTATTAAAATTGTAAAAATTTTTGAATGAAAATTTTTAATTAAAAGTTTCTAAAATAATAGCTTGTTTTGTTTGGTTTTTTTTATTTAGACCAGGTTCCAGGTATGTTCCATACGGTGTACTAGGATTTGAATCTTTTGATCTTCAAATAATAATTTAAAAATTTGAGAGAAACATTCTACACGTTTAGGGGTTTCTGGAACAAAATCCAGCATGAATCAAGTGTAAGTAGGATTGAAATCAGTCGAAATCAGGGAAGTTTGCTTCTCTTCACCTTTGTCCTTTCTCCCTGCTTTCTGAATCAAATTTCACAAGAAATTCCCATTGTTTGTTTGCAAATGCTGATATTTCACAGCTTCCAGTGGGAGAGAATCCAATTTGGAAAGGCAGGCTCTGATTTGGGGCTCTAAACTCCATCTGGAACCGAAATATTCCTATTTTCACACAAAAAAACTTCCTGCAGAGCTGTTTTCCACGTGGGAAAGGATCAAAAATAATCATGGAAAGTCTCCAAGGTGCCTTGAATCCATTTCTCCATCACTTCTGCCACTCTAACTGAACCACATCCCCAAAACCGGATTTAAACAGGGTTGATTTGGTTCTGTTTTCATCTCAGCACCTGAATCCTGGGATGGGATGGGATGGGATGAGCACTATTCTTGGAGAATCAGGAGGAAATCCCCACTGATCAGTTGAGATTCCACCAAGGAATGCAATTCCTCAAGCACACTTTGATGGCTTCACTTCCCCGGGATCCTGCCAGGCTCTGGAAAACAAGGAATGAAGGCAGAAAGGTCCTCCCTAGATGGGATAATCCAGAGTGGGAAGAACATCCTGGAGTCCATGGTTATTTCCCTAGAAACTATGACTTCGATCATGAGGGAAGAAAATCAAGGTGAACATGCCAGCAGCACTTAAACCCAGCTCAAGCTCCACATTAACCCGTTTGGCCAGTTTATTCACTTCCTATTATTCCCTGGATCATGCTTTGAATAATTTCCATGAGCTCTCCCTCAAGTCCTGCCCCTTTTGATGTCATCAATTCCCTCCATAAAGGCTGGACAGCTCCCAAGAGCTCTGCACTCCCAAATCCCACAGCTTTGGGCCAGGACTTGACTTCTGCTCAGGATTAAGCCCAGGGCTGGGTTTAGTGGCTTTTCTACACACTCAGAGATCAGAGTTTCTGCCAAGGTACAGTGGGGGAGGGGCTCTAATTTGGTTGGAATCTGTTTTCTTAATGTTTAATTTTGTATTTATAGCTGGAAATGTTGGGTTGTGCTGTTTCCCAGATTGTTTCTGAATTATTTTCCTTTATTATTTTTTTTTCATTCTATTAATTTGAATAATGCAGATATAAAGGAGATGAATTCACCACAAACTTAAAATCCCACTCAGAACACCTGAAAACTGAATTATCTCTGAAAACCAGGCTTTTATCTGGAGGTTTTTGGGTCAAAATTAGAGATTAAACTGTGTTTGATTCATTCTTTTAGTATTCACTTTGGGTAATTATTCTTTTTTTTCTCCACATTTCCTCATGAGCAAGGAGTAGATTATTTTAGCATTGACTTTGGGTAATTATTCTTTTTATTTCCACATTTTCTCATGGATAAAGACTCAGAGCTTTAATTTCATTATCACAGAACCTCTCCCAACAATTCTTTAGTTGCTTCTGCTCTCCTCAATTTCAAGCTCTATTCCTGTATCCCTAATTTTTTTGTTATTTGGAGCTAAGGTTGTTCCAAAGTTTGGACTCAGTAAACTTCTTTTAATGACATAATGAGAAGGATGATTCACATGCTGCTGTCATGTTGGAAATTCTCACCTTACTCCGTGTCATGTTCCGGACGTGGAAATGTGCCCACGTCACTCCAGTGTCCCAAACTGCCACCAGAGCCAGTTGTCCATGCTCAGAAAGGCTGGAATTATCACTGGAATAGCTTTAATTACCGGGAGATAAAAAAATCTGGATTTTATTTTTATTTATGCTGCTCATTTGAGTGATTTTTCATTTCTGTGCTGCCTTTTCACTGATGTAAAATACAAATACTTAAATTCATATTAATGTGGCAAAATCACTGTTAATAACATTAATTAATATTCTGGTGGTCTTCAGAAACACCTGAGAGCAGTTTTATTTTATTTCCAGAGGTTTCTACAGTTTTAGAATTCAATTTCTATAATTCAGTTCTTTATCCACACCCTAATTTGGCTCATCCCCTCTTGAGGTGTGTTTCTCCATTTCCATCCCAAAATTCCTGTCTGGACCTCCTGTATTTCATCTTGGAGAAGAGTTCCGAGAGAAATTTCATCCTGTTTATTCTGCAGAGTGAGATCCTACAGCAAAAATTAAAACCAGGTTCCAATTCAACCGCTTCCAAGTTGAACTTTTCCTAATTCTTTGCCATAAGGATGAAGCCGTAGGGGTGGTTTTGAGCCACTCCTGTTCTAGGCCCGTAGAACAAGAATAAATAATAAATAATAATAACATTGGAAGCAGAATATCTCACTAGAAATCTTCCCCTAATCATGGATTACAAATCTGTGTGGATCCACAATGGCTTGACACTTCAGGAATAAACCCTGTTCCTTGTTGTTCTTGGAAAGAAGAAAATTCCTGACTTTTTCTGGTCTCAAACTTCCCAGAATTAGTCCCAAATCCACACTGGCAGAGAAGTCCTGTGAAGGTGTGGGAAAACAACTCCCAATTCCTCAGCAGCAGCAGAATTTGGGTTCTTTGCTCCTTCCTGGATCCAGATTCCAGGGATCTTCCTGGATTCAGGTTCTCTGCACTTTTATGGCAGGATTTCATAATTACAAACTGATCTGGGGCCTCCTTGGAAAAGCCTGTTTGGAAAAGACTCTTTGGAAAGAGCCCATTTGGAAAAGCTGTTTTGGAAAAGCCTGTTTGGAAAAGCCTGTTTGGAAAGAGCCCATTTGGAAAAGCCTGTTTGGGAAAGGTTTTTTTGGAGAAGCCTGTTTGGAAAAAGCCACTTTGGAAAAGGCATTTTTGGAAAAGTCTCTTTGGAAAAGGCTCATTTGGGAAAAGCCTCTTTGAAAAAGGCCTCTTTGGAAAAGATATTTTTGGAAAAGGCTTCTTTGGAAAAAAAAAACTATTTGAAAAAGTCCTGTTTGAAAAAGGCCCATGTGGAAAAGGTGTCTTTGGAAAAGGGAAAAGGCCTGTCTGGAAAAGGTCTCTTTGGAAAGGCCACTTGGAAAAGCCGTTCCCTCAGATTAACAAGCTTTTCCCATTTGTTCCCATGGCCAGGAGGACACTTAGAGGATGGAGCCATCACAAGGAGAAGCACAGCAGGAAGGGCTGATCGAGTTCTATGGCTCCTTCAGGGAGATGTTCGAGTTCTTCTGCAAGAACACCACGATCCATGGCACCATCCGCCTAGTGTGCTCCGGCAGCAACCGCATGAAAACGGCGTTCTGGACGCTGCTGCTGCTGGCCAGCTTCGGGATGCTCTACTGGCAGTTCGGCCTCATGTTCCGCCAGTTCTGGGCCTACCCCGTGGTGCTCACCATGTCCATGCACTCCGAGCCCAAAATGTTCCCGGCCGTCACCGTCTGCAACCTGCATCCCTACAGGTGAGCTGGGCCACCTGCAGCACACATGGATGGAGCCAGGAGGTTGGGATGGTCAGGGATGGATCTCAAAGGGTTGGGATGGTCAGGGATGGATCTCAGAGGGTTGGGAATGGTCAGGGATGGATCTCAAAGGGTTGGGAATGGTCAGGGATGCATCCCAAGAGTTTGGGAAGGGTTGGGGATTCATCCCCCAGGAAGGACAAGGGACTTCAGTCATCCCCAGCTTCTTTCCAGCACACCTGGGTGATCCTAGAGTTTTGGGAAGGGTCAGGGATGCATCCCATAGGATATTAATTATTTATATTAATATAAATTAATTCTAATAATATAATATATATATATATAAAACTATATGCTTAAATAATAACAAATATTCATTAATTATAAAGATTAAGTCTAATAAAAAGAAATTTTAATTAAATATGCTAATTAAATAATACGTTAATTAAATTTTTAAAGTCTAATAAAAAGAAATTTTAATTAAATATGCTAATTAAATAATACGTTAATTAAATTTTTATTATGGATTTATAATGTTATTATAAAATTATTTATGTATAAATATAAATTAAATAAAAATAATTTATTAAATCAAATTAATATTTGATTAATTAATTAAATTAATAGTATTAATTTAAGAATAATAATCAGCAGAATTTCTGCTTATATAATTATATAATTAATATTGTTATTTTAATAATAATTAAGCAGCAGAATTTATCAAAATTAATTATTATTTTTTAATTATTATAATATTAAATTAATATTATTCGAACGAGATGTGCTGAGCTGCAGAATTTTGGGATATTCTCCCACAGCCACCAAGGAATAACATTTCCACAGCTCCTGTGAGGGCACAAAGTGATTAGAAATGTGGATTCCATTGAATTAATTAATTTAATTAGTGGATTTTCTTTATGGAATTTGATTTCACAAATCCACGTGAATGCCGTGCCTGGCAGGTTTGAGCTGGTCAGCGAGCACCTGGAGCAGCTGGACCGGATGGCAGCGGAATCCATCACCTTTTTGTATGGCATCAACGCCTCGGCCTGGCTATTCCGTGTCAACGCCAGCAAAATCCATGGGAACAACAGGAAAATCCATGGGAACAACGAGAAAACCCGCGACAAAGACAGGAAAATCCATGAGAATGACAGGAAAATCCGCATCAAGGACAGGAAAATCCACATCAAGGACAGGAAAATCCACTTCAACACCAGGAAAATCCGCAGGAGCGACAGGAAAATCCAGGAGAGGGACAGGAAAATCCAGGAGAGGGACAGGAAAATCCAGGAGAGCAACAGGAAAATCCATGCCCAGGCCTTGGCCAAGCTCAACAGCTCCAGCTTTAAACTCAGCCACAACTTCTCCCTGCTGAGGGTGTCTGACCTCAGGGCAGGCAGGAAACATTCCAGCGTGGGATTCCGGCTGGTGAGTGGGATTTCACCAGGATTCGGGCAGGGACAGGAGCTCTGGGTGCTCCCCCAGGGAACCTGGATGGCCATGGGGATTCACCCCAAAAACTTGGGATTGGGATTCATCTCAAAATATCTGGGAATGGGGGATTCAACCCAAAAAAATTGGGAATGGGGATTCACCCCAAAATACCTGGGATTGAGGATTCATCCCAGAATTCCTGGGAGAGCTCAAGGTGGTGTCCAGCTCCAACCAAGGGTTCAGCTCATCAGGTCGGGAATTTTCTTCTTTCCGAGAACAACAAGGAACAGGGTTTATTCCTGAAGTGTCAAGCCATTGTGGATCCACACAGATTTGTAATCCATGATTAGGGGAAGATTTCTAGTGAGATATTCTGCTTCCAATGTTATTATTATTTATTATTTATTCTTGTTCTACGGGCCTAGAACAGGAGTGGCTCAAAACCACCCCTACGGCTTCATCCTTATGGCAAAGAATTAGGAAAAGTTCAACTTGGAAGCAGTTGAATTGGAACCTGGTTTTAATTTTTGCTGTAGGATCTCACTCTGCAGAATAAACAGGATGAAATTTCTCTCGGAACTCTTCTCCAAGATGAAATACAGGAGGTCCAGACAGGAATTTTGGGATGGAAATGGAGAAACACACCTCAAGAGGGAATGAGCCAAATTAGAGTGTGAATAAAGAATTGAATTCTAAAAATAGAGTTCTAAAATTGTGGACCTGAGGGAAATTTATGAGCAGGACAAAAATCTGAATCTGTGCTGAGGAAGCAGCTCTGTCCCACATCCCAAATTTGGGCTGGGATTCCCAGCTGGGGCTCAGTTTGCTCCTGGAAGTGTGGCTGGAAGCTCCAGCTGAGGCTGCTCAGGGCCTTCCAAGGTATATTAAAAAAACCCAAAAAACCAACAAAAAAGAGTGAAAAAAGAGATTTGCTGATTCCAGAGCTGGGAAATGAGAGATTGGGGAATGGTTCAGGGCAGTTCCTCCATCCCTGCCTCATTCCATCCATCCCTGTCCTAGGGATTGGTGTGGCAGGAAAGGGCAGCACTTTCGGGATGATTATGGAACACCTGCCTTTTGCTGGAGTCCTTCAGTAATTTGGGGGTGATTATTGAGCCCCTGCCCTTTCCTGGAGTCCTTCAGTAATTTGGGGGTGATTATTGAACCCCTGCCCTTTCCTGGAGTCCTTCAGGAATTTTGGGGTGATTATTTTCATCCTGCCCTGTCCTGGAGTCTCTCACCAGCATTTTTGGGGTGGTTTTTGATCCTTGCCCTGTCCCAGAGTCCTTCAGCAATTTGGGGGTGATTTTTGTCCCCATCCCTGTTCTGGACCAGCCAAACCTTCTCCAGAACCCTGAGTATGAACAGAGAACAGAGAAATTCTCTCTGGGCTCTGCTCCTGGAGAAAATTCCCACCTTTGTCATCCCAAGCTCCTGCTCCTTCCTCCTGCTGAGGATGAAGCAGCTCAAGCAGAAAATCCCTGAAATACTCAAAAAATTTCCCCTCTGGGGGAAAACAATGGTTCCCCTCATTCCCGCATCCACTTTTTTCCTGCCATCCTGAGTTTTTCCCCTCTCTCCCAGTGCAATTCCACAGGTGGGAATTGTTTCTACAAGACCTTTTCCTCGGGCATGGATGCCATCCTGGAGTGGTACAGGTTCCACTACATGAACATCATGTCCCAGCTGCCCGCCATCATCAACATTTCCCAGCACGAGGAGCCCATTGAGGACGTGGTTTACTCCTGCCAGTACAACGGGGAGCCCTGCAGGCCCAGGTGGGTGGAAATTGGGATTGCCAGGGAATTCACAGCTCATTCCTGTTTTCCCAAACTCATCCAGCATTGAATTCAAGTGTTGTCAACCTCAAAATCAAAACTCCATCAAATTTCTCTTGATTTCCCAGTGAAACTCCATCAAATCTCTCTTCATTTCCCAGTGAAACTCCATCAAATCTCTCTTTATTTTCCAGTGATTACATTCACTTCCAGTTTTTGGGAGCTGCCACACTTTCAACAGCTTATTCCCATTTTTCCAAACACATTCAGCTTTGAATGAAGGTTTTATCAACCTCAAAATCAAAATTCTGTCAAATCTCACTTGATATTTCCAGTAAAACCATCAAATCTCTCTTGATTTTCTGGATTACATTCACTTCCAGTTTCTGGGAGCTGCCACACTTCCAACAGCTCATTCCCATTTTCCCAAACTCCTCCCACTTGAAATTACACTTTGAACAGCTCATTCCCATTTTCCCAAACTCATCCAGCATTGAATTCAAGTGTTGCCAGCCTCAAAATCAAAACTCCATCAAATCTCTCTTGATTTTCTGGATTTTGTTCACTTCCAGCACCCAGTTTTGGGAGCTGCCACACTTCCAACAGCTCATTCCCATTTTCCCAAGCACAGCCAGCTTTGAGTTAAAGTTTTGCCAAACCCAAAATCAAAACTCCATCAAATCTCTCTTGGTTTCCCAGTGATTACGATCACTTCCACCACCCAGTTTTTGGGAGCTGCTACACTTTGAACAGCAAGGGGACAGATCCCTTCTGGACAGCCACAAAACCAGGAATTCCTTATGGTAAGTGAACTGCCAAAATGGGGGAAAAGAGCTAAAATTAAGGTAATTAATTAAATTTGTCTTCAGTGCAGGATTTAGTGACAAATTTAGGCCCCTCTTTTGCTCTGGTGGCACAAATTGTTGGCTTGTGTGCCAACCATGCCAGCCACAGCTGGGCCTCAAAAAGCAGAATATTCTTTTTTGGTTTTGAGCAGAAAACTCTTACAGTTTTTATTGCAGAATATTTGGCTTTCTTGGGTTTTATTTATAGGGTTGTTTTTATTATTATTTATTATTTACTATTCTTTATGGGATTATTGAGGGTTTGGAATAGCTGCCTTTGTCACCAGGGCTCCAAGGAGTAAAAATGGCTTTTCTAGGATCCAAAATGAAGGATCCCACAATCCAAATCTGGGTTTATTGGGTTTTATCTATAGGGTTATTATTATTATTTATTATGTATGAATTATTTTTCTTTTTATTATATTTATTGTATTTATTATGGGATTATTGAGGGTTTGGAATAGCTGCCATTGTCACCGGGGCATTAAGGATTAAAAATTTTCTGCGTTTTTCTGGGATCAAAAAAGAGGGATCCCACAATCCAAATCTGGGTTTATTTATAGGGTTATTATTATTTATTATGGGTGTATCTGAGGATTAAAAATGTCTCTTTTGGGATCCAAAATGAGGGATCCCAGAATCCAAAGGTGGGTTTCTTGGGTTTTATTTATAGGGTTATTATTTAATATGCTTTTATATTTATATTTATATTTATATTTATATTTATATTTATATTTATATTTATATTTATATTTATATTTATATTTATATTTATTATATATTATATTTATTATGGGACTTTGAGGTTTTGGAGCAGCTGCCACTGTCACCAGGGCTCTAAGGAATAAAAATGCCTTTTCTGGGATCCAAAATGAGAGATTCCAAAATCCAAATCTGGGTTTATTGGATTTTATTTACAGGGTTATTATATTATTATGATATTATTATATTTTATTATTGTTTTATTATATTTATTATGGGACTGTTGAGGGTTTAGAGTAGCTGCCGTTGTCACCAGGGCTCCAAGGAATACAAATGGCTCTTGAGGGATCCAAAATGGGGGATCCCAGAATCCAAACCTGGGATCCAAGCCCGAAGCTGAGGGATTTGCCCAACGCTGAGCATTCCAGAGGTTCTCCTTGCAGCCGAATCCCCTCTGTGTGCTCGGCAGGGCTGTCCCTCATCCTGCGGGCCGAGCAGAAGGAGCACATCCCGCTGCTCTCCACCGCCGCCGGCGTCAAGGTGATGATCCACAGCCACAACCAGACCCCGTTCCTGGAGCACGAGGGCTTCCACATCCGCCCGGGCATCGCCACCACCATCGGCATCCAGCAGGTGGGAATGGCCCCTCTGGGACACAGAGCCTGACAGGATGACTCCAGTCATCCCAAACATGGCCTGGAATGGCTCCTCTGGGACACAGATCCTGATAGGGCCAGCTCCAGTCATCCCAAACATGGCCTAGAATGGCCCCTCTGGGACACAGATCCTGCCTGGGGCCAGCTCCAGTCATCCCAAATGTGGTCTTTTGGAGTCCAGCAGGTTTGGGCACCACCTAAAGGCCTGGGATGTCCCCTCTGCAGGCTCAGGGTCCTCTCCTTCCTCTCTTCTTCCTCTCCTTGTGCTCAAGTCCAATCATCCCAAACGTGGCCTGGGAATGTCACCCCCGGTGGCTCAGGGACCCCCAGCAGGCTCAGGGTCCTCTCCTTCCTCTCCTCGCTGGGCTCAGGTCCAACTAAAATGATCCCAAATGTTCTTCCAGCTCTCAAAACATTGGAGATTTCCACTGATTCCCACTTTGGAGGCTTCTGCTCCTCTTAGATCCCACCCCAGCTCTTCCCAAGGAGCTGAACTGGGATGAGAACAAACATCCAGGAGGGATTTATTTCCTCTCCTGACTGGGCTCAGGTCCAAATCAAATAATCCCAAATGTGGCAATCCAGATATATAAATACATATATGTATAATATATAGCACATAAAATATTATATATGTGTATATATGTATAGGTATACAATCAAAATATTATCTATAATATTATTCATTATATAATATATAATAATTTATATAAAAATATTCATATGTTGTAAATATAACTATAAAAATATATACTATTGTATTTATTTTTAATATTGAAGTACAATAATAGATAATTCTATAAAATATATAAAATATTATATATAACATAGATAAATATAGAAAATATAGAAATTAGATAAATAGATAATACTAATGTATATAATATATTGCATGTTAAGCATATATACAACATTAATTTCTGTTGTTTCCCTGATATTTATTGCCAAGGTCCAGCCCTGCTGCCTGCAGTGAGGCCCAGAGGGTGATGGCTGGCTCTAATTACTGCTGCTAATCACTGAGGGCTCTAATTAACCCTGCTAATCACTCGGGGCTCCAATTAACCCTGCCAATTAATCACTCGTGGCTCCTTTCTGTGCCCACAGGACGAGGTGAATCGCCTGGGTGGCAATTACGGCAAGTGCACCACCAACGGCGCTGGCGTGGCCGTGGAGCTGCTCTACAACAGCTCCTACACGCTGCAGGTACTGCTGAGCATGGCTTAGCCAAACCCAGCTTAGCTAAACCTGCCTCAGCCAGGACTCCAACACGCTGCAGGTACTGCTGAGCCCAGCTTGGCCAAACCCAGCTTAGCTAAACCCACCTCAGCCAGGCTGTGTCAGGAGCCAGCAGCTCGTTCCTTCCTCTCCTGGACGTTTCAGGCCCGAGGAGCTCCCCAGCAGGAACTGGGAGGAACCCCGGGAGCCATGGCAGCCACAGGCCCTGGGGAGCTCCCGGCGCTCTGGCCGCTGATCCCGGCAGGAATTGCAGCCTGTGGGCTGCTCCTGGAGGTGTCACTGGGCAGCATCCACCAAGCATTCCTGAAACAACCTTCCCGATGGGAACATTCCAATGGAAACGTTCCAATGGAAACATTCCCATAACAACCATTCCAATGGGGGAACATTCCAATGGAAACGTTCCAATGGAAACATTCCCATAACAACCATTCCAATGGAAGCGTTCCCATAACAACCATTCCAATGGGAACATTCCAATGGAAACATTCCCATAACAACCATTCCAATGGGAACATTCCCATAACAACCATTCCAATGGGAACATTCCAATGGAAACGTTCCCATAACAACCATTCCAATGGGAACATTCCAATGGGAACATTCCAATGGAAACATTCCCATAACAACCATTCCAACGGGAACATTCCCATAACAACCATTCCAATGGAAACGTTCCAATGGGAACATTCCCATAACAACCATTCCAATGGAAACATTCCAATACAACAATTCCAATGGAAGCATTCCAGTAACAACCACTCCAATGTTCCAATGGAAGCATTCCAGTAACAACCACTCCAATGGAAATGTTCCAATGGAAACATTCCAACAACAAAAATTCCAATAACAAGAATTCCAATAAGAAATATCCCAGTAGAAACATTCTAATAAGAAAAATTCCAATGGAAACAATCCAGTGCCAACCATGCCAGTAAGAAACATTCCAGTCGAAACATTCCATTATTTTGCCTTTTTCCCCTCCAAGCTGCATTCCCACAGAACTGGAATTTGTTTTGGTTTATCCCGATGTCTTTCCCATTTTCCCACCAGGCCTGCCTGCACTCCTGCTTCCAGCGCTGGATGCTCCGCGAGTGCGGCTGCGGCTATTCCCGGTACCCGCTGCCCGCTGGGAGAGCGCGGCACTGCGACTATGGCGCGCACCCGGCCTGGGGTAAGGGCTGCTCCCACATCCCGCGAGTCCCGAGGCTGGGAAATCCGGGAATTCCCGAGGCCCGGGAATCTCAGCAGTTCCAGAGTCCTGAAAAATCCCTGCAATTCCTGAGGCCCAGGAAAATCCCGGGAAATTCCTAAACCCCTGAAAAATCCCTTGTCCTGAATCCCTAGAAAATCCCTGAAAAAGGAACACATTCCTGAATCCCTCCCTGGATTCCTTGGGTCACTCCCATGCTCTGCTGAGGCTCTTCCCTCTCGTGGATCCATGGAATTCCAGAATATCCTGAGTTTAAAGGATCGTGGATCCATGGAATTCCAGAATATCCTGAGTTTAAGGGATCGTGGATCCAGCTCCTGGCCCTGCCCAGACATCCCAAAACCCCCACGCTGTCCCTCAGAGTGTTTTCCAAACATTCCTTGAATCCCTGAATTCCAGCTGCATCCCAGGCACTTTTTTGTGGATACCAAGTTGAGCTAGAAAATACTTTTTAAGGAATTGGGGTCCAACTCCTTCATCTCCTCAACACCTGGAAGAAATTTATGGCTGAAATTCATAAATCTGGGATGGAATTCCCAGAGAATTTGTGGCCGCCCCACCCCTGGAAGAGTCATGGGCACTCTGGGATCGTGGGAATGTGGATCGGGATAAATGGGAATATCCCCACCCGTGGATGGGGTGGGAATTGATCTTTAAGATCCCTTCCAGCTCCAAATCCTGGGATTTGAGGATTGAATTGTGATTCTTTTCCTGGAACTCGGTGGGTCGCACTCGGGCCGTGCCTCTGGAATTCTTGTGAAGGCAGAGGGAATTCCTCAGCCCGTTCCCCTTTCCCAGGGCACTGCTTCTACCAACTGTACCGCCGGCTCCGGAGCCACCGCCTGGATTGCTTCCAGCAGTGCCCCAAGCCCTGCAGGTCAGTCCAACTGCGCCAGAACAGCCGGGAATGCCGGGAATTCCGCGGGAAATCCATGGATCCGATGGAATTGGGGGGGTTTTGCACCCCAGTGTGACCAAGCTGGGAGCTTTTGATTAAAATGGAATTGAAATTGAATTTCTGTAAAAGGAATGAAAAAGGAAATTAAAATTCAACCCCAATTAATTTCTATTTCTGTTTAAATGAAATTAAAATCCAACCAATTTTTTTCCTAAATTTAAATAATAAATTTAAATTATTAAATAATAAATTTAGTAAATAAAAATTCAACCAAATTTTTTCCTAAAATTAAATAAATTGAAATTATTAAATAATAAATCTAATAAATTAAAATTCAACCAAAAATTATTCCTATTTCTGTTTAAACTAAATTAAAATTCAATTAAAATGGGAGCAGTAAATAAAATATAATACAATAAATAAAAATTTAATTTAATTTATTAAATTAGAACTTTATCTGTGAAAGCAGAAATTGTTTCAATCACCCCGGAATATTTAATTAGGGCCTAGCCCAAATTGTTTGTGTCACTTTTCCACCTGAATTCTTTCAGTTTCACCTTTTTTTTGTACTGCAGGATGGGTTCAAAATGAAAATTTTAAAGCAAAAACAACAAAAGTTCTCATTTTGGATGCATCCCAAAGTTCCCAGGATTTTGAAACCTGGGAATTCTGATTTTCCTCCTGACCTGAGCAGTTTCCAGGCCACCTCGGGGCTGATTTTCTGAGCTGAATCAGGAAGCTTTTCCCAAGGTTCTGAAGAGCTGCCCTGGGAATTTTCGGGATTTCTGGGACATTCACCGCGGGAAGCTCCTCGTGCTCAGAATTCCTGGTTTTTCTCTCCTCAGGGAATCCCTGTACAAGGTCTCAGCTGGCACAGCCAAGTGGCCCTCGGCAAAATCCCAGGTACTGCACAAAACCCCGGAATCCGCCCCAAAGCAAAGCCAGGAATGCTCCTGGGCTGAGCTCCAAGGATACAATCCCAGGATCTTTGGGAAAGCCTTGGAAAGAATAGAGTTTTCCTTAAAAAGCCTCTTTATTCTCTTAAACCTCATCTCTTTCACTCAGCCATGGCTCGGGACAATTCCCAGTGCCCAGGTTGCTCCCGGAGTTTCAATCCCATTCCACTTCCCTGTTCCCACCCAAAATTCCTTAAAAATCCCCTCAGTGCCTCAATTCCCAGCTCCAAACTGGAACTCAATCCCATTCTAGTTCCTTCAATCCCGTTCCATTTCCTTCAATCCCATTCCATTTCCTTCAATCCCATTCCAGTTCCTTCAATCCTATTCCAGTTCCTTCAATCCCATTCCAGTTCCTTCAATCCCATTCCAGTTCCTTCAATCCTATTCCAGTTCCTTCAATCCCATTCCAGTTCCTTCAATCCTATTCCAGTTCCTTCAATCCCATTCCAGTTCCTTCAATCCTGTTCCAGTTCCCTGTTCCCACCCAAAATTCCCTATAAATCCCCTCAGTGCCTCAATTCTCAGCTCCAAACTGGAATTCAATCCTGTTCCAATATTCCAAACATTCCAATAATGAATATTCCAGTAGAAACATTCCAACAACAAATATTCCAAACACAGGACTGGGTTCTGCAGGCTCTGAGGCACCAGAACGGATACAATTCCAGCAGCAGCAGGTAAATCCAGGGCTCATTCCCAATCCAGCAGGATGTGGGGTTGGGAAGGGGAAAATGTGCAGGATAATCCAAAAAAACCCTATAAACTCCCAATAAACCCCCCAGAAACTCCCAATAAACCTCCCAGAAATTCCCAATAAATCCCCAATAAATTACCAATAAATTCCCAATAAACCCCCAATAAATTCCCAATTAATCTTCAATAAATCCCCAATAAACTCACAATAAACCCACCATAAATTCCAAAAAAAAATCCCAATTTTTCCTCACTGTAAAATTTGGAACTTTTTCCAAGCTCTGATTGAAAAACCTCCAGGAAAAACTTGGTGGCAGTGGGGAAATATCTTTTTTCCCAGAGATCAGCACCAGAACCCTGGCAGGGAATGTCCCCAGTGCCAACCGGGAATGCCCTGTTCCCACTGGGAATGCCCCATTCCAGCCGGGAATGCCCTGTTCCCACTGGGAATGCCCTGTTCCCACTGGGAATGCCCTGTTCCAACCGGGAATGCCCTGTTCCCACTGGGAATGCCCCATTCCAGCCGGGAATGCCCCTTTCCATCTGGGAATGCCCCATTCCAGCAAGAATGCCCTGTTCCCACTGGGAATGCCCCATTCCAGCCAGGAATGCCCATTCCAGCAGGAATTCCCGCTTTTCCGCAGGAAGGAGCTCGCCAAGGTCTCCATCTTCTACCGGCAGCTGCGCTCCCAGGCCCTGAACGAGGCCCCGCTGCTCTCGGTACGTCCCAACCTTTCCCATCAACTTCCAACAGAATTCCTGAATTTTAGAAGGGATTAATGCCTGGAAATTAATCATTTCCCCTTATTTTTATATATCTAGAGATATCTATTTATCAATATGATAATATTAGTTATTAATTAATATATTGTATTTTTATTCTTAATGTATGTGGTATAAAACATATATTTATGAATATGACAGCATTAATTTAAAATTACTTATTAGATTTTATTTTTTCATGTTTATATAAGCATCTATATTTATTTATATGATAATATTATTATAATTTCAGTTTTATTTGGTGATATATAAATATATATTTGTGAATACAATAGTATTAATTAAAATATTAATTGTTTATTTACTATGTTCATTTTCTATGATATATAAATATATATCTTCATATGATAATATTAATTCTAAATTTTCATTTTTAATTATTGTTTTTATATGTTCATTTTTATTTTGATATATATATAAATCTGTGTTTATTAATGTGATAATTATTAATTTATTAGGCTGGCTGCAGGGAGGGATTTTTCTGGAAAACCCTTGGGAATTTCACTTTTTCCCCAACCCCATAGATTCTCTCTGGGTGACAATGGCAGAATTCCCATTCCCAGAGCTCTGCTGTCCTAATCACCACAACCCTGGAATTTTTTCTCTTGGAATTCCACCCCCAGCTCTGTCCCTGCCTCCAGTCCAGGCTGCTGGGCTGGCTGCAGGGAGGGATTTTTCTGGAAAACCCTTGGGAATTTCACCTTTTCCCCAACCCCACAGGGTTGATGAGAGCAGAATTCCCTTTCCCAGAGCTCTGCCAATAAAAGCATGGAATTTTTTCCAGGAGAACCTGCTGCTGTCCAGCATGGGGAGCCAGTGGAGCCTGTGGTTCGGCTCCTCGGTGCTGTCGGTGCTCGAGGTGCTGGAGCTGCTCGCCGATGCTCTGGTCCTGGCCCTGCTCTGCTGCTTCCGCCGGCTCCGGGCCAGGGAGCGGCCCCCGGCCCCGGAGAGCTCCGGGGAGCGGCAGGAGGAGCCCCGGGAAGGGCAGCAGGGAGCCCGAGGATCGGGAATGGGGCTCCCACAGCACCCAGAGCTGGAACTGGAGGGGTTCCAGAGCAGCCGGGAGCTGGGACAGGAGTGAGGAACTGAGACCTGGAATTCTCCTGAGGCTGGGGAAGGTGCCAGGGACATCCTGGATCCACAGCTGGCATGGAAATGCCTGGAATTCTCCTGATCCTGCTGGAAAGGTGCCAGGGATACCCTGGATCCACAGCTGGGAGCTCTGGCAATGCCTGGAATTCTCCTGATGCTCCTGGAAAAGTCACAGGGATGTCCTGGATCCTCTCTGGGAGCTCCCTGAGCATGGAAATGCCTGGAATTCCCTTCATGCTGCTGGAGAGACGCCAGGGACATTGTGGATCCACAGCTGAGCATGGAAATGCTGGAAATTCTCCTGATCCTGCTGGAAATGTGCCAAGATCCTCTCCTGAGAGTGGCAGTGCTTGGAATTCTCCTGATGCTGCTGGAAAAGTCAGGGATGTCCTGGATCCACAGCTGGGAGCTCTGGTAATGCTTGGAATTCTCTTGATCCTGCTGGAAAAGTCACAGGGATGTCCTGGATCCTCTCTGGGAGCTCCCTGAGCATGGAAATGCCTGGAATTCCCTTAATTCTGTAGGAAAGGTGCCAGGGATGTCCTGGATCCACAGCTGAGCTCCCCCAGCCCCTGCAGGTTCCCACAGCACATCCTTGGGTCCTGCATCCCAAGGTGCTGGATCCCAAGGCTTTGGATCCCGAGGTTTTGCATCCGAGGTTTTGGATCCTGAGGTTTTGGATCCCGAGGTTTTGGATCCTGAGGTTTTGGCTCCCAGGGATTTTTTTTGTGTGATTTTTCCCCCTGGGCAGGGGGAGCTGCACTCTGGGAGTCCTGGAATCCTCTCCAAAGGCTGTTCCCAGCTGTAATTCCCAAGCCCTGGTGAGGAGCCCACTCTGAGGCTGGGCCGGGCCCAGCCAGGTTTCACCGAGGGAGGGAATTCCAGGAGAAGCCAAGGATTGTGTGGGATGGGGAACGGGCTTGGAATGGGATGGGTTTAACCCTTCCAACCCCAAAACATTCCCTGCCCCTGGGATTCACATCCAGGGTTGTCCTGATCCCGCCTGCAATTCCCAAACATCTCCTGCCCTCTGATCCCAGAATTCCCAAGCATCTCCTGCCCTCTCCCTTTCCAGGCTGCTGAGATGCTTTTGGATTTCTCCAGAAAATTCCCACAATCTGACTCTTCCAGAGGGAAATTAAGAGTTAAAACCGAGGTTGGGAATTGTTCTGGGTGCCAGGAAAAGCAGCGGATTCCCACCAAACAGAGAAAATGTTTCTGCTTGTTGTTAATTAATAATGTTAATGGAGATAATTGTTAATGTTTTTTATTAATTTATAATGTTAATGGAAATAATGTTAATATTTGACAGTAATTTATGTAAACAGATATAATTATTAATATTTGTTGTTAATTAATAATTTTAATGGAGATAATGTTTGTTAATATTTGTTGGTAATTGATAATATTACCAGAGATAATTGTTAATATTTGTTAATTTATGTTAACAGAGATCTTGTTAATATTTGTTTTTAATTTATAATGTTAATGGAGATAATGTTAATATTTGTTGTTAATTGATAATTGTAACAGAGGTAATATTTGTTCTTTCATAATTTTAATGGAGGTAATGTTACTATTTGTTATTAATTGATAATATTAATGGAGATAATATTTGCTATTTTATAATTTTAATGGAGATGATGTTACTATTTGTTATTAGTTGATAATATTAATGGAGATGTTACTATTTGTTATTAATTGATAATATTAACAGATATAATGTTATTATTTGTTATTAATTGATGATGTTACCAGGGATAATGTCAATATTGGCAGTGATTTTTCTGTACACAAAACAAGCCCAGCTTTGTTCCGGTGGGGTCGCTGTGGCTGCTGGAGCCTCGCAGGGGGCGGGAAAGCCCAAATTTGGGGATTTTGTCATTTTTTAAACAATAAAATGCTCTGGGCCCAGCTTGGGCTGGGTTTGGTTCTGCCTCCTGCTCATCCCTGGGGCTCGTTTTGCCTCCATTTTATTTCTGAATGCCGGGAACGCTGGGAAAGCGGAACAGACCAAGGCAAATCCAGAGTTTGGAGTCGGAACTTGGCTGGATTCGCTTAATCCTCAATGCATAAAAAATCAGGGAATTTCCTCCCGGGAGGAGCAAGTGAAGAAATTTCACTCCAGTTTGGGACTGGGGGATCCAACACTCCGGGAAAGCCCAGAGGGGGAGATTCCTGCACCAGGGAGGGTCTGGCACAGGAGACCTGACAGGGAATGGGAACTGGGAATGGGAATGGGAACAGGGATGGGAATGGGATGGGAAAGGGAACAGGGAATGGGAACAGGGATGGGAATGGGAACAGGGATGGGAATTGGGAATGGGAAATGGGGACATGGATGGGAACGGGGACAGGGATTGGAGACAGGGACAGGAACAGTAACAGGGATGGGAATTGGGGACAAAGATGGGAATGGGGACAGGAATATGGGACAGGAATAGGGGACAGGAATTGGGGACAGGGATGGGAATTAGGAACAGGGACAGGAACTGGGGACAGGGACAGGAATTGGGGATGGGAATTGGGGCCAGGGATGGGAACTGGGGAAAGTTCAGGGGCAGGACAGGCCAAATTCAGTGGGATGAAATGGTTTTGGAGGTGGTGGAAGCACAAAATCCCAACCGGAGGTCTCTCAGAACTCTCTGCACCGAGATTGGGCCTGAATTCTGAGTTTAGGAGGCTCCTCTTTATTCCAGAACCTCTGGCTTGGTCTTTTCCAACCTCAACAATTCCTCTTGGTGCCTGGCACAGCTCAGCTCCTCACCCCTGGCTTGGGTACAGGCACCAAATCTTCCAATCCCAGAGGTTCTTCCCTTAAAATGCTCCAAGAAATTTCCTATCTCAGAGGCAACAACGCTGAAATGACCTGAACCAACCCTGGATTTCACCCCAAATTCTGTTTTAGGGTCACCCCTGAGTGCCTGGGATGGTCCCAAATGGAGATTTCCACCTTCCAGCAAAAATCCAGCCCCCAAAAGTGACAAAATCCCCCAGGAATGAGTGCCAGGGCAGGGGATCAACCCAGGCTCAGGTCAAATCAGATTTTTCAGAGCTGCTTGGAGCAGGAACAAAACAAAATTTCTGCCTCAGGGGAAGGCAGAGAGTTCAGGAGAGAATCTCCTGAGCAGGGATGGTTTGTGCTGCGATTCTGGGGGTAATTAAGCACCCTCATGCCATTAATGATGGCCCTGATTTCACATTTCTGGGGGATTTTTTTTCCTGAAACTAATTTCTTCCTGGTGATGAACCCACAGAAAGGAATCCCATCATCACCATCACCAGTCACAGAAATCCCAGCACAAAAACAGAACAAAACAAAAAAACCCAGATTTTTCTGTGCCATGCAGTGCCCCACAGCTCAGCCTGGAGAAGGAAAACAGGTTAAAAAATGCTGTTAAAATAACATTAAAAATAAAGAAATGTAATGTTTGTAATGTAAAATAAGTAAAATGTTAAAATAATGTTAGAAAATGCTGATTTTTGTTCATCCAGGCAGTGAGGCAAGGATCCCTCCAGCAATAAACCAAGCTGAGGAAGAGGAGGGAAGGAGTTTCTCCAGATCTTTATTAACAGTGCTTCAAGAGACCAGAGAAGGGAGACAGAGGAGGGAAAAAAGGCTGAGAGCAGAGCAAGAGCTTTGAGACCGTACAAAGGTCATTGCAGAGAGAATTTCTGGGTTTCCAGAGGTGCCCACGGGCTGTGGGGAGAGGGGCTGAAAATCCTGGAGCAAAGGGAGGGAGGGGTGAGAGTTTATTTACAGCAAGGGCAGAGCCCCTGAGCTCTGGCCTGGCCACAGAAGGCTCTGGGCTGGACCCAAACCCTCTGGGCTGGCCAAAAATCCTCCAAAATGGTCAAAAAACCCTCTGGGCTGGTCAAGAACCCTCTAAGTGGGTCAAAAAATCCTCTGAGCTGGTCAAAAACCCTCTGAGCTGGCCAAAAAGGATCTCTGAGCTGACCAAAGGACCTCTCCCTGGACCTGCAGTGACCCCTGTCCCATCCCCATCCCTGTCCATATCCCTGTCCCATCCCTGTCCATATCCCTATCCCATTCCCGTCCCTGTCCCATCCCTGTCCATATCCCTGTCCCATCCCTGTCCCATCCCTGTCCATATCCCTGTCCCATCCCCGTCCCTGTCCATATCCCTGTCCCATCCCTGTCCATATCCCTGTCCCATCCCCATCCCTGTCCATACCCCTGTCCCATCCCTGTCCATATCCCTATCCCATTCCCGTCCCTGTCCCATCCCTGTCCATACCCCTGTCCCATCCCCATCCCTGTCCATATCCCTGTCCCATCCCCATCCCTGTCCATATCCCTGTCCCATCCCTGTCCATATCCCTGTCCCATTCCCGTCCCTGTCCCATCCCTGTCCATACCCCTGTCCCATCCCCGTCCCTGTCCATATCCCCGTCCCTGTCCCATCCCTGTCCATACCCCTGTCCCATCCCCGTCCCTGTCCTGTCCTTGCTCCTGCCCCGTCCCCATCCCATCCCCCCTGTGGGCACACGAGGTCGCGGCAGCCCAGCCCAGCCCAGTCCGGCCCTGTCCAGTCCAGTCCAG